CCCGGCTAATTTTTTCTATATATTTTTAGTTGTCCAATTAATTTTTTTCTATTTTTAGTAGAGACAGGGTCTCGCTCTTGCTCAAGCTGATCTCGAACTCCTGAGCTCAAACAATCCACCTGTCTCAGCCTCCCAGAGTGCTAGGATTACAGGCGTGAGCCACCGCGTCCGGCCTGAGTCAAAAATCTTATCCAATAACTCAATTCAATATTAATTTACATGTTCAAAAAGCTTTTAGCTATTAATAACTAATTAATATGGTTTTCCCATTACAGATGGAAATAGATGAATAAGTCATGTAATTAAATTCATTTGTTGTTTTACATGAATGGGATTCAACTGAGACATTCAGTGTACAAAAAACGTCTTCCATACAATGAATTGATCAAAAATTGCTTGAATCAGTAAGAATTTACAAATTAAACTTCAAAGCTAATTTCAAAATGAAATGGTACCGTACCCTACAGCTGCATCTCCCAACCCCCAGGCCACAGACTTGTACCACTCTGTGGCCTGTTAGGAACCAGGCCACACAGCAGGAGGTGAGTGAAGCTTCATCTGTATTTATAGCCACTCCCTATCGCTTGCATCACTGCGTAAGCTTCACCTCCTGTCAGGTCAGTGGCACTTAAGATTCTCATAGCAGGGCAAACCCTACTGTAAACTGCACATTCGAGGGATCTAGGTTGTGCGCTCTTTCTGAAAATCTCATGTCTGACGATCCAAGGTGGAGCTGAGGCAGTGATACTAGCACTGGGGAGCAAATGGAGATTATCATTGGTAGAGAGGTTTGACTGCACAAAAAAAGTAGAATCATCTCGAAACCCATCCCCCATCTCCACTCCCTCACTCCATGGAAAAACTGTCTTCCAAGAAACTGGTCCCTGGTGCCAGAAAGGTTGGGGACCACTGCCCTACAGACTTGGTTATAAATTCTAAAGGGCCACTCCTGTTTTAACACTATATTGATCATCAAATGCTTATTAAGATTATTTGGTTAATGGATTAAAAGACAATGCTAAAATGTTTTAAAACATTAAAAATTTTGCAAGAAAACCAAGGATTCTATTTGAATAATCTAAGGCAGTGGTTCTCAAAGCATGCCTCCAGGACAGCAGGATAAGCATAACCTAGGAACTTCTTAGAAGCAAGAATTCTTAGTCATGTATGTTTTTATGATAGGATTCTGTTTATGTAAAATTATGTGTGTATGCACCTGTGTGCAGAAAGATACACAAAAATAAATTACTTGTTCTAACTATCCACAGTTGGAATATTTCTGTTACACCAAAGCCTAATTAAAATTCAAGTTTTATAGTGCCTAAAGTGTGGCTTCTAAATATCACTTCCCACCAAAAGGAACAAGGGCTTTTTGAAGAAATGGCTGTTTCCAGATCTGGGATAGGAAATTTTCAAGATGAGCCTAGAATATTTTGTCATGGCAGAAAGCAAGGAAGCTCTCAAGGAGTGCTAAGGTCATGCCGTAAGGATTTAGGAAGCAACTTTTAAAGGAGCTCCCACTAGCCCAAGTTGGGACAGTAAGAAAAATAAATGCAATGGGTTGAAATGCTTCAAATATTTTTAAATTCATGAGTTTATAATGACACTAAAACAACAAATTTATTCACTAGTTATCTCAGGAGGATATGAGAGAACCAATTCATTATCTGGAAACTAGTAAATAAAGAGAAAGAAATATTCATCTTGCTTTTCCCATAAGAGCTGTTTTGGTGAGTAACAGTTTTTTTAAACCAATAGTTTTTGGTTTTTCAAGTTTTTCCTTACAGAAATTAATCCAGCTACCAAATTATGAAGGGATGATATAATTAGAATATTTGGATTTTTAACCTCTACTTAATCAATGGACAAGACAACTAACATCACAAAAAAAGGGCAAACAGACATGGGTCTCCTGACTGAAATATACATATCTAGTATGAATATTTCTTACTAAAAAACTGAATTTGAGTCTGATTAAGCCTCTAGATAAAACAGGAAATATAGGGGACAAAAGAACTTGTTAAGTAACACAAAAAGGATGCAATCAGCAAAATCTAGATTGTGGGCAAACTCTGTTAAACAAACAACCTGGTTTCTTCAACAGAAAAGTTGCTAGGAAAAAAGAGGGAACTCGTAGACTAAAATATAAAAGACTTAAGGGACACAGCAATCAATTGAATGTAATTGCTCTTATTTGAATTCAGATCAAAACAAAATGTAAAAAGTAAATATCATAATAGAATGGAGAAACTGGAACAATGACCAAAAATTTGATGTTATTAAAAATTAACTTTTTAGGTGCTAAAAGTTTATTTTTAAAAATTCCTTACTTTTTTGATATATATATTCAAATATTTATTGGTAAAATGATACAATGTCTAGGATTTGCTTCAAAATCATCTAGAGCAGCGGTCCCCAACCTTTTTGGCACCAGGGACCAGTTTCATGCAAGATTTTTCCACAGACTTAGGGTGTGGGGGGGTATCATTGGTGGGGAAGATGGTGCGGAGCTCAGGAGATGATATGCAGCCTGTTTCCTAACAGGCCACGGACCAGTACTGGGCGGCGGCCCAGGGGTTGGGGGCCACAGATCTAGAGGCGGTGGGAGAATAGGCAGGGATAGAAATGAAATAAGATCAGCTATAAGTTAATTATTGAAGCTAAATAATCAGTATAGGGTTCATTCACGCCACATTTCTGTATCTTTGAAATTTTACATAACAAGTTAAAATAATATTGAAAGTATACTTAAAAAATGGAAAATAAATGTGCTATTTATTTATACCTTTACATATATTTTTAAACATTACATTTTTATTTACCTTTTTACTTAGTCTTTGATTTTCCTTTTCAATTTTCAGGATTTTGGAAGTATTGCCTTCTACAGAATCCACAGTACTCCGAAGCTCTTCTACAGTTTTTGTCAAACTTTGGTTTTCCATCTCCAACTTCAATAATTTACTTGATGTCAACTCATTCACCTCATGGCCCAGGGATTTCTGTGGTGCTATAATATTAAAAAATACACCACTGGTAAAACTATGTTTATTTGTTATTATTTAAAATACTGAGTGCAAATGTAATTGGTCACATGGTGCTTAACTTTATTTAAAAAAATAAGGTTATATAAGATATACACAATAAAAAAAATAGGTAAATCTTTTAACTTTTAATGCATCCATAGCTTTCTATTGGGAAAAAAAGCACTAAATTCAGACTGAAGAGACTAGAGTTCCAGTTCTATTTCTGTAAGAAATTAACAAATTGACAATTTCTAAGCCATTTGAAACTCAATGAATCTTAGGTTACTTTTATAAACATAGTTACTTGCCTGTGTATCTCACAGGGTCCCTGTGTGACTCAAATATAAAGTACAGGCAACACTTCCAAAATTTAAAGGAAGGCAATTACTTTGTTGTTGTTTTTGTTTTTGAGACAGGGTCTCACTCTGTTGCCTGGGCTAGAGTGCAGTGACATCATAGCTCACTGCAACCTCAAATGCCTGGGCTCAAGCTATCCTTTTGTCTCAGCCTCCCAAGTAGCTAGGACTACAGGTGCCCCCACCACACCTTGCTAATTTTTAAAATTTTTTTTGTAGAGATGGGGTCTCCCTATGTTGTTCAGGCTGATCTTGAACTCCTGGCCTAAGTGATCCTCCTACCTCAGCCTCTTAAAAGTGCTAGGATTATAAGCGTGAGCCACCACACCCAGCCAGGAATGTAAGTTGAGGGAAGAAATCCTAACATGATTCGGAGAAAGTCAAGACAGTATATACTAGTCATATTGAAAAAGTCTTCTAAATGAAGAATTCATGCTAAATTTAAATGTAAAGAGCAACATCCACTCCATTTTGCCAAGGGAAATCATCTTTTTGTAAGTAGATTGCAGCACTACATTTTTTTTAAAATAAGAAAACTTGGTGTCTACTTATTAAATGCTCTGCATTATGCCAAAAGTAATTATTTTGTAATAACTCTATAACAA